ACCTACATCACTTTTATATAAAAATATTATTATTTTTAAATTTTCATACTCAAGAAAAAGTGCATAATTAGCCCGGACGAAGATAATATTTAATAAATCTAATGTGTTAGAAAATTTATAATTTTAAAGTGACTTTTTAATATTTAAAATTTAAAATTAATTATAAAAATTAAAGTAACTTTTTAATACGAATAGCGTAACTTATTTAATGATCTTGAAATACGACTTATCAGACATTCACAGACTCAAGTAAAAACTATTTAATAGTATTTTATAAAACGATAATTTGGTTGAACAACCAAGTACTTCATCATGCCTCCGATGTACCCTATCTTTATTTTAATGTACTATTTTTTCCCAACATATGTACCTGAACTCTGCTTTTAGGTACCTACATACTTCCAATGAATGTTTGTGAGGATTTACAGAATGACCAAAAGTATCAGTGATAGATTCTGAAATAAAATAAGAGTTTATAATCATCTGCATATGGGTATAAGGGACGCAACGCAATATGACAATTATTTTCTCCTATTTTGATAATTAATTACCAAGACTAAATTGAAATTGTTAATGTGGTAATACGCTATCACGCCAACGTGCTTTGACATATCAACTATATACCCCTCAAATTAATGTGCCTCTATTAAATTTTCAGAAACCTGTGTCATCAAATTATTATACATAAAACATGATTGTCGTATACCCCTTGTTTGTGTTCATATATTATAGTACATTCAAGTAACAATTATAATTCTATACAACCAGGTTCTTGTTGTTGTATAATCAATCACCTACAACCAAACTCTTGTTAGGATCAAGGGACCTCAGTGCAGCAAATGAAAATGACTTTCTTCCATTCGATTTTACAAATAGTACAAATCAACATATCGATCCAGCTTTAGCTAATCCGCCCTGCAACCCAAAATATGGAGACTCAAGCATGATTAAGGTAAAATTATTTTTGATAATAGAGATAAGATTCATTGGAAATTACTAGAAACTATGAAACATTTTCAAGATACTTGCCACGATAAATAATAATATTATAGATGATAAAATTTAGAATAAATTTGTCTTACTCTATTTTTGAATGAAAAGTTTCAGCTTTCTTGAACAATCCATAATTTTCATATCTTTGTATCAATATGATACAATATCTTATTTCAAACTCTTATAATGAAGATTGTTAAACATAGCACAAACCATCAAAATTATTCTATATGTACAATCCAATCGTCACAATATTGTAGTAATTACTATAAAGAGATATACCATTATACTCTAATGCGTATAAGAACTCTAAGTATCAACTCACATAATCCAAAAATCAAACTGTAGGTGAAAATATTTGGGAAAGTATGGTTCATAGGCATATCATAAAATTAACACATCTTTATTTTATATTACACTAATCAACTTAAGAGTTCCAAAAGTATTTCCAATCTTACAAATTCTAACTACTAAAAACCTATATAAAATCAATCATATCTCACACACAAAGAACATGACCTAGTTTAAACAATCAAAACAAAATAAAAAAACTCACAATCAATCGAACATTATAATCAATAAATATTATGGCATTGAGTGTATAACGGTTGGTTGGAATCCTCAAATAGCATATATTTTTTAAAAGAGAAATGACAACCTAACACTCTCGACAATAATTTATGAAATTCTTTGGCGTTAAAACAAACTCTTTTTTGAGACATTTTATCGAACACATAAAGTGCATCATTCAAATATTTATTTCACTAATATACACCGTATGAATCCAAAACAAAGTAAACTATCTAAATCTAAAAGAATAGACAAATTCTTTTACTTAAAGTCACAGTGCTTCGTCCAAAAACAAATAGCATCACAATTTCACTAAAATCATATCTTCTTATGGAATTCTAGTAATGTACTAATCCTCAATAGCAACAAATTACCCACTTTTACAAAATAACAATTACGACATATTAGCATAATAGCAACATAAATACCCGATAGCAACGAAATTCATTATCAAAATCACCCAAAAATTACCAACTTCACAAAATTCATACTTCGTGTATAGATTCCTACTCGTTTAACACGCACCAACATTTTTCCCAAAATAACAATTTTCTTGCTACTGATACAAATATTACCTTGCAAGTTAAAAATATTGGACTCTAACTGGACGACAGCGTTGATTTGGAGATTGTCTGTGACAGCTTTCGGGAGTTATTCGACCAAATTGTGCGATCACCGGCGATAGAGAACCAGACGTTTAGTGGGAGAAAGGACAACGAACCAGACGGACAATGGGCTGAGCAACCGGACGGGAGGTTGCTTCCGACCTCACGAAAGAGGGTTCAACGGATTGAGGAGAAAACTTCGCGCGAAAATAAGAAAAAAAAACTAGAGAAATGAGAGAAGAAGAAATGAGAGAAGAGTCGATTGTGGGGAGTGAGAACGATGAAGAATGTAAAAGAAGGGAGTGCAGACAAATAATTAATATATAGGGACTGGATCCCAAATGAAAACTTTGCAGAGGGATTTTTATCCAATTGTGCGAAAAAATAATAATAATATAATATTATTTTGTATATTTTGTAAATTCTATTATATAATTATGTTTGTTTTAAATTATCTTATTATCTAATATATCAATATTTTTATAATTTATTTTTATTTATTTGAATTTGATAAATCGTAATTGGTGGTTTGAAAATTAGAATAAAAAAATTAATTTTTAAAATTTTTAAATTTATTTTAAAATAATTGCCAAATCATTCGCTCTTGATTTGCTAAATCACTCGATAACAAAGTATCCATTTTTTCATTTTAGTCCGTCTCATAATAAAGTATCAATTTTTTTTTGTAATAACTGTACTTTCTACTTAACATTACAAATACACATACAACTTACAATATATTACACAAATGTCATTACTTTTATATCACACGTACTAATAATGTTATTTTAGTAATTTGTACTTTATTCCTACTACATCCTAATATAATACTAATATTTCTAAAACTACGTGCAGAAAGCAAATAGATATCTAGTTATGGGGCGGAGGGAGTATTTTTTTCTTTGTAATTATCCAAATTTTTTTAAAATTTTAATTATATATATATTTTTTCTCTCTTCTTTCCAACCGGTCTCATCTCATCTTTCCAAATTTAATCGTTGTTTACAATTATCTACATCACACCCTATCGACTGCATCCACCCATTCAGACCAAACTCACTCACCTTCTCTCTTCTATCTCCTTGGTCCTTACTCAGTCCTTCTCACTTCTCGAACAATTATCTTTCATCTTTTTTTCTTCTCAAATCTACCACGTACATACTGTCACGTTAAAATTTCTTGTTCAATTGATGCATATTATTTTAAAAATATATTTTAATCATATGTTTAGGGCCTATAATTTATTTTTACTCAGGGCCCCAAAAAAGTGCAAGACGGCGTGCCGATAGGTCATCGCCAACCATGTACATGTCAGCAACAGTGAGTCCACGTATACACACGTGACCGACACGTGAGACTTTTACCCTACTTATTTTAATTAAAAAAAAAGTATTTAATTATGAATGATCAACTCTTTGAAAAGATAGTAGAATTAGAATAGCTAAAATTTTAAAATTTAGTAAGATATAAATTTGGGTGTGATTTATTAGTGGAAAAAATTTAATTTTATTATTGTTGTGAATTTATAATCCGAATTTTTGGATATATAGAATAATATCACGTATATAAAAACAAGGGAAAATTGAAAAAAATATATATTCATTATGTTTTAAATTTAATGGATCTATTTTTTATTTTTTCTCAAAACTCCAAAATAGCACTAGAGGACTTCGTATATAGAGTAAAAATTTCTAAAGTCTCTATTTAATATAGAAATACCCATATTTTTTGAGGGAGTTGATCAAATACTGATATTATAATTTTAGCATAGATGTTGAATGGTAAAAATTCATTATCATAATTTATATCATTAAATAATATAATTATAGAGCTGACAAAAATTGAACCGACACGACAACTCGATACGAAATAATTAGATTTGGGTCAAATATTTCAACCTATTTATGAATACGAGTTGACACGAACCCGACACGATAATAAACGAGTCGGGTTAGAGTTGAGACTCTCAATTCCAGCCTGACACGACAACCCGACTATAATATATTAATATTGATTAATATATTTATTATATAGGTAAAATAATTATAATTTAATAATTTTCTCATAAATTAATTTAAACTATGTTCAATTTTAAATAATTCAACGACAAAAAATAATTTAATTTGAATCAAGAATTTTGACTTAATTATGTATACTGGTCAACACGAGTCAACCCGAACCTGACACGATAATAAACGAGTCAATATGAACCCGACACGATAATAAACAGATCGAATTAAAGTTGAATAATTTAACCCATTTAAAGTATTCAATCCAATACGAATCCTACTGTTGCCATTTCTATAATTAACCCATTGCCAGCTCTATATAATTACACAAACTTAAGATGTAACTATCGACATGATGATGAATTTAAATATTTAACACCCTATCCATGCTGCTTTTAGGACAATAATTATACTATGCATTTCCATACAAGTAATATTACAATTATGCTACACAATCCAATGCAGTTAATAAGTTGTACCCAGGTTTTTATTACGTGCTTCACAGAATATTATTTTTTTTTTACTAACTCCGTCCAGTATTACACTGTAGACACTGTATTTTAGAAGAGGTGTAATTAGTAGATAATTAAGAATATATCAGTGAAAATAATTATCCGATAATATAAATAATTATAAATTAAAATTAAAATAACTAATTAATTTAATTAAATTTTTTTAAAAAATACAATTAAAAAATTTAACACGAAATTAAAATGTATAATCATTTTAAAAAAGGAAAATGACATGGTACTTGGGACGGACAAAAATGGCAACGTGGACATAATATGTGGAACGGAGAGAATACTAAATATCACATGAGATATTTTCTAAATAAAAAAATTCAAGCCCCCATTCTCATTCAAGTCCAAACTATAGAAGAAACAAGGCCTTGTATAGGCAGGCAGGACTAGGAGTGACTAGGAGGAGAGCTTCCAACTTCCAGCATATATGAATAGAAACCGAGACAGTATGGATGAATTTTCTTGACAATATTCGTTAAGTCAGACAATGAAGATGATGCATCAAATTAGCAGGCAGGCAGGCAGGCAGGCAGGTTCTATTTTACAGTTCAAATTATTTAGTAATTAGTAGAGAGCCAGCCAAGCCAGCTAGCTGTATGATGCAAAAATCAAACAAAGAATGTTCAGATCTCCTCCTGCTGCAACTCCATCAAGAGAGAAATAAATAAATGAATAACCCTTAATCAGCAGCAATACTAGTCGGGGAAGGAGGACGAGGAGGAGTTCCGGGAGCCCGGCGGGAGCACTTCTTATTGTGTTTGCGCTTGAGACCACAGATGCAATTCTCGAGCAGTTCATAATCCTCGTTCCAGAACAACAGAGACGCCATTTCTGGATTGTCTAAAAGCAATTTTGAGGTCAGGTAACCAGCAATTGTCCATGTCTGCCGAAGCCGGGCTTGTTTTCCAACAAACCTTCCATGTCTAGTGTCATAATACTCCGGCCATCCATCTGCTCGAAGCCTCTCCTCCACTAAAGCAACTGCCTTCTTCGCCATCTCCGGTCTCCCCATTTTAATGCACGCCAAAGTGAACTGCACGTCAAATATGCCAAGTGAGTGAGTGAGTGAGTTGACACTCTCTCATCACTCACACAGAATGAAGAGAATTACGAAACAATACCTGCCATACAAGTGTTGGCCATGATCCACCGTTGTGGTACGACCACGGGCTGCACACAAAATATCTCATTCAATAAAATTATCAACTTGTAAAATGTAATTAAGATCGACTCCAATGTCTTACGTATTCTTAGGGTCTCCGCCAGTGATTATGCGCCACTCCTCATCCTCTAGAGCAGGGTAACAAATCTTGAGAGGCATTTGTGCAACGAGATCATCCCATTTTTGATCAATCAAATGTAAAAGACTTTCACTCTGTTCGGGGCTGCTCAGTGATGAAACAATGGCCCAAAGGTTTCCGAGAGTGAAAAACCTAAAGTCCATATGAGCAGGCTGCAAGTTGCCAATGAAATAGCCACCGGTTTCTGGAATCCAATCCACAAGCCAGCCGGGGATTTGATCCGGATAGATATTGAACTTATTGGTTGCATCTGTCGAGTATTCTTCTGTTTTGTAGCGATAAATCTCATTAATTTTCTTTATGTCTACCCAATAATATTCCCTCATATGGAAAGACAGCGCACTGAGTCGATCATTGACAGCAACAACGAGGCTTTTGGTTGAATCATTGACTGTAATCATCTCACGAGCACAGCGCAAAGCAGAGTAAAATAGAGCCTACAATGCCCAAAATGTTAATTGACTTAGCATCTCCTTCACAGAGAAGTGCAACCGAGTAATTCCCACATAATGCAACTACATTACATAAAAAAAAAAGATGATAGTCATATCTACAAATGGAAAGACCATTAAAACTTTTGGATTCTCCAAATGCAAACATTAATTCTGCTCTATTCATGATGCTAATTGTCTCAGAGCTAAATATTTTACTCACCCATGGGTTGTATTATATTGAGTTCTTTATATGCAATATTCTAGCCTCACTCTACAAGTAATGCCCACATAAAAAGCATGCCTAGTTATTCCGGTGAAATAGTACAATTAGAGTTACTAAAGGTCTCTAGAAGACAAGAGTTGCACAAAAATTATCTGCAAATGTATGCACGGCCCAGTTCAACAAACTAAAAATGTAAAATTTTTCAGCAACCTTGGAAAGTGACAAGACCTAGTTTGCCAAAGAGAGATTTTTTTATTTAAGAGATTCAAGTTAGGATTTGTTTGAAATAAATACAACATTCATTTACATAAAAGAAAGTAACAGCTTGATGATATCATCAACATACAGACATCAGAACCTGTATGGTTTGACTTTCATCTGAGACGAGACGTAATAAATGCAAAACTCAATTTTAAAAAAAAAAAAATGCACTTCTCTAAAGAAGATAGAAGATAGCATGCATCCATCTGGTTCTGTTCTAAATGTTATCCATATAAAAATATGCAACATGGTAAAAGTTTTGCAATGCAAAAATGAGAGCATGGTCTGCAATTCACTCACTTGGATCTCGAGGGGGTGCCCATGAATGCCCATTCTTCGATCAATCATACAGGAACCATCAGTAACCAGGAGCGTAGGAAACATGTCAAATCCATCAGTTAAGCACAAACTTAATATTAGTTTAATGCCAGTCTGCACATCCACCCTCTGCTGCAATGTGTAATCACCCGTTACTTTTCCATAGGCTCTCAGTAAAATGATCCACCACAATCCTATACAAGTATTAATATTAACATAAGAAGATCATATCCCAGCACAACATCATCCATCATCCATATTTACAAAAGCATACGATTGTGATGAGCAAAGCTACCCACTCATTTGACTCATATCCATGTTGTTTAAGAATAGGTGTTGGATTCTAACTCTCCAAACTCTTCATATACAAGATAGGAAAAGACATACCAGAATCAACAGGTGCAACGCGTCCAATGGCTGATTCACCGAAGTCTGGATCTAAAACATCTTCAAATTCTCCATCTCGCCCGTCAAGAGGAGATGCTCTAACTTTAAAACTGGCAGGCATCAACCCTTGCCCCGGGCTATAGCAGTCTACAGTTTTCTCCCAACTCTAGTTGACAAGAAGAATAGAAATGTAAGTTTGTCCTGTGCAATGAGGAAAAAAATGTACACCTATCTATACTATGTATAAGATAGCCTTAACAGTGGTATAATCGAAAGCTTATCTAGTTACCTGCAGCTGCAGGGTATGGAGCAAAAAGTTCTTTACAATATCACCTTCTCCATTAAGCAAAAAAGCCAGTGCTGACGGCACAAAGTCACGAATAAATACTTGGTCATAATTGAGTGGCTGCTTATCAGCTGGATCAGCTGCAGCCACAGTGCCGACAGGGTTTCCACAATAGTTAACAACAGCTCCTCGGAGTAACTTCCAGGCCTCTTCTTCCGCATCAGAAAGCTGTCTAGGTTCCGAAACGCCTTCTTTACTCGACTGATCTGTATCATTCCCCTCAATCTTATGTTCCTTCTCTTGCACTTGATCCTCTTCTATTTTCTCAATTACCAGGGGTTTTATATTCAAACCACCTTGAATATATATCTTCTCGAAACTACGTTCATTTACATGGGATTCAACAGAATTTGAATGGTTCCTAATATCTGAAGACACATTTGCCAGCAGCCTCGGGAATTTGATGTTCTTCCCCCATTTGGGGGAACTAACCCTAGACTGACCCCAATTTGAACCTGAGCCAAAAAAACTCCTCCGGTTCGGGTCTCTAACACTCCTATGTCCTAGCACACTAGTATTTCTACGAAAACAATTTGTTTTCACCAAATAATACAATTTCGACTGTGATTTCGGCAAATTATGGTCAGAAAACTGACCACGTCTCGGAAGTGGACATCCAAAAAGGGATGAATTTCTCCCGAGAATCAATATGTCGCAATAAGGCTTCATGCTACAAATTCCAATACAACACCCAAAACCCTAATTTCCTATACGCAATTTCAACTAAAGAGCTGAATTAGACAACAAATGACGCGCCTAAGACTCGAATGATCTCAACTGATAATAAATTCAATATGCCCCTCCCTCAAAAAATGAGATCGAGCTCGCTCGTATATACAGAACTAATAAATCAACAGAGAAGGAGACGAGTATATACAAAAAAGAAGTAATTAATATCTAAGAAACTGAAGGGAAGGGTAGACTTACAAGTTACAACAGTTGATATTTCTGAGAAAGATTTGCAGGAGGAGGTTGCTTTGCGAAACAGTTGGTTGCTTCGGCCGCCATGGCTATGACTATATATAGATGCAGAAAAGTGCGAAGATTCAAGGAACAAACAAATTCAGCAAATGGACCAAACGGCTGAAATTCCATTTCTATCCTCTCTCCAGCCGTTGAGATTTTTCAACTTGAATTAATATTTAGGGGCTTATTTATTTATTGCTATTTATAACGGGCTCTCAAAAAAATGAAAGATATTTTTATTATCAATTACGATAAAGATTTCACGAACATGGTTTGCAAAGTTTGAGGTGCAGACAATTAATTACCATGTTAATTTTATTAGCAAATAATAATTATTTATTTAATATAAAATATTATGTGGGAAGGTGTGTATTGTCATTTAAATTTAAGAGCGTGTTTTTTGTGTCAGAGAGGTCGGTTATGACACGGAACTTTAAAAACCAAAGAAAAACATGTGCAAGAATTGGGACAGGGCAGGGCCCTTTTTGGATTGGTTTTATTTGAACCAACACGTCAGACTTGGACATGGACATATTTGTGATTATCTCTTCTCTTATATTTTTCATGTGGATATATACAATGGGCTGGTGTCGGCCCATTATGGCCCAAATGGGAGGGGCAGACCCCAAATACAAAAGTTTCAGTATTTATTTAATTAATTATTAATCCAATTGAGTTTGAAATCCTGTTTGTTTTGATTTGTTGTTGAGGTCGGTATCAGACAAGTGTAAGTGGAAGCGGACGAAAGGAAGAGTGTCCAAATTCCACCAATCCGACAGAGCCTTTTTAATTAAGAAACTAATGCCCTTTTACTATAGTTGATTAATTAATTAATTAATTATCTACCTCCTCATGTTTGGTTTAATATATATATATATATATATATATATAATGAAGTAGAAAATAAGGGAAAAGAGGTCAATTAGAATTTAGAGGCAGTCGTCTCAGCTGATCAGACTTGCCTTCATTCAATGAATCTTGCAATATCTCAACTTGGTCTTTATTAATATTATTATTATTATTATTATTATGTTAACTAACTAATTATCCTTATTATTTGATCCAAACTATTATATATAATACGAATTACAAAAGCATATTAATGTTGTAAGTACATGTGTACAATATGGTCTTATCTTACGACTTCATTTAATTTATTGGGTTTGTGGTCTGGTCTGGGAGCCTTAATTATTTAATTTGATCAAACGTAACTGCACGCAGACATTACTTTGTCACATTAGTTCCAACTGCATTACAATTGTTATTGTGTGTTACATATTCTAGATGGATGATAATTGATTAATTAATACACTCTACATATAAATTGGCTTGATCACGTTGATTTTAATTTATTGCATACATGTAATTAATAATATAACATATGCAAAGTGAGACTGCAGCAGCCATGTTACATTAAATGTCTGAGTCACTGTAGACACGAGAATTTATAATAAGTATAATTAGTAGATAATTAAGAATGTATCGGTGGAAATAATTATACTATAATATAAATAATTATAAATTAAAGTTAAGATAACTAATTAGTTTAATTAAAATAAAAAAAAAAAGAATATTAAAACGAGACTAAAGTGTACAATCATTTTAAAAAAAGAAAATGACATGAGATATAAGACGGATAGAAACGGAAATGTGGACACGGTAGATGGGACGAAAGGAGTATTAATTGTACATTATTGAAAAATAAAAATATTGAAATATGGGTGCATGCAGTTAAGTAATTGATTCAATTAAAATTATTAATTAGATGGAAATAATCAAGGCTATATCATAATCCGCCGTAAGGGAATTTTCCAAACTTTTTAGGATAAAATAATTTACCTATACATGTAAAAAAGACATATTTTTATGTTGTCGACAATTGTATCCTTGAGTTGTAGCATTTCCAAATCAAAAATATTGATAAATAATAAATATAGGTTATACCAGTAGCACTATAATAAAAAATAAAATAAAATTATTAAGATTGTTTCTCACAACTAAGAAATTTATTTGTTTTAATATTTTTAATTTTAAACATATTTTTATTAAGAGTAATAGAAAATTATAAAAAATAATATTTTGTGTTTATTAATTTTTATCGATATTTATATATATATATATATTGTAGTATTATATATTATATTTTTTAGATGATTTTATTTTTTGAGAATTACATAAAAATAAAAACTGTAAATAAACACATTTTAAGGATTATAGCTTTTCTTTTATTTCTTTTAAATTTTTTTCTATACTATATATATACATATATTTTAAAAAAGACGAATAAAAAATAAATAGGAATATGTGACAAGGGCACTTCATTAATTAGTTGAAGCTCGACTAATCTAGATCCGCCCCTAGAAATATAATAAACTTTATATATGCTCGACATTGATGTCGTGGCGTGATTGGTTAGTCGAAGCTCGTCGATGACACGGGTGCTTATATATATCATTAGTTAGTTAGAATTGTATTAGATATACGATCATATCCTTAATTTTTATTAAATTCGGGGAAAATAGTGGATGAACACAAAAGTATGTGTCGTCATAAAATGTGATATTAAAGGAAGGTGTTGATATATATATATATATAAATAAAAATGAAATATATAATTATAATTATAATTATAATTATAATTATAATTATAATAATAATGATTAATTAGCAATGTGTTAGCATCACGTAAGGTACAAATGAAATCATTTAGTGGACACCATGCATTAACCCATCATCAAGTAACTATATATGAATAAATGCAATCGACATCAGCACGAATTAATTATTTATTTATTACAAAAATTGCAACGAACAGATGAAAGGCTTTTTTTTTTTTTATTTTTTAATTTTGTCGCAATACGTACGTACGGTACGGACAAGCTTAAATGCAAATGTAATGATATGTATGTATATATGAGGTAAATGAAAGTGCATGTAGCCCTGTGCGTGTTGCGCCCTGGCAACGCTTTCTCTACAAATATGGGACATTAACTAATTAAATCAATTTATTGATTGCTATCTTTACTTAACACATATATATATATATATGTGTATAGATATACATGTAATTAATTAAGGCTTCGGATTGAGTAAACATACTTGTCGATTTAGACGTTAATTATCACACTTAAAAAAATATCCGTTTTTGTAAGATGTTAATTCATGAATAAGGACAAGAGATCAATCGTATCAATATGTATAGTCAAAGGAATATGTGTCAAGAAGGGTTAACACACTTCATCTTAAAATTAATTGTAGGGGTGTCAATTCGTGTTTTTGGGTCGTGTTCGTGTCGGGTTGAGCCATAGGGATAACAAAAAAACTGTCAACCCGAACCCACCTGAACCCGAAATCTGACCTGAAACCCTAGACCCGAACACGACACGAATTCTTTCAGGTCGGGTTAAGGTTGACCTGAATTAGTTTCAGGTCACCCGAAACCCGAACAAACCCGATACGAATCCGACACGATACAGACCCGAAAATTTAAAAAAAAAATTAGATTGACCTAAAAAATATCATTTTTATTTTTATTTTTATATTATTTTATATTTAAAATAATATAAATATTATAAATTAAAATAATAATAATAAAAATTTCAGGTAACACGAAACCCAAAACCTAACCTGATTTTTATATTTTAGGTTATCAGGTCAACCTGAAACACGACACGAATTTTTTTCGTTTCAGGTTCGGGTCGACCCGATTTTTTTCAAACCCGAAATGCCCAAACCCGAACCTGAAAAATTTCAGGTCGAACGGGTTCGGTTTTTCGGATCGGATTTACTTTTGACACCCCTAATTAATTGGTATTAAGTAGAGAGATCCTTGTTATTACATTTTTTTTTTTTTTTTTTTTTTATGTGAAACATATTCAACAATATGAATTTGATGTTAATTTTTTTTACTAACAGTAAAATAATATTTCCCGTCATTTAAACTCGTGTTCAAGCTTTCAAGCAAAGATTGATATCAATATGCATTTTTTGTTGCTTTTTTCTTTTCATATAGTAAAATGGTATAATGAGTAATATGATTTTTTTTTTTATCAATAAAACAATGTAAAATACTTTGCAAATTCATCAGACAACCACATAATATGCAAGGAACTGTCTGTCTTTAATCCTAGTTGAACACTAGAATTTGTTTTTTGGATTTGATTTGAGAAGACTTAGTTTGGATTTTGTATTAAAATAATATTTGAATAAATATTTTGTAATTTCTTTTTTTTTTTTTTAAAAACATACAGAGTTCAAATAATAAACTACTAGCATTTAAACCGATGCTATGCACGGGTGTATATATAATTAAAATATGTTTAAAATAATATTGTAATGTAATTATATATTTGATAAATTTTGCATATATGATTTATTTATAATTTATCAAATAAATATATATAATAAAAGTAAATAAAATATTGTAGATGAAATCGTATATAATATAAATCCTAACATTTAAGTAAAATTTATTTTCTAAACTACGGAAAAAAATATATAATTCCAAAAAAAAATAGAAAAAAAAATAGTTATAATTGTGGAGATTTTTTCAAAATATGTGAATATTCTTCACACCAATCTACGGTCATAACTTGAAACATCGGATATGGAACATCTGGCCTTCCAAACGTTAGAGGCACATAAACATGAATGTGAACGCTCGATCAATAAATGCAGTCAAATAATTTTTTGGCATTATTTTTCCATTTATATAAATATAAATAGATAAGAAATATATATTTACTTATTAGAAAAAATAAGTAAATCAAAATTTTTAATTAATACATATGCATTATCTTCCTAAAAAATACTAAAACTATCTAAAAAAAATATATAAATATATCTAAATTTTCTCTATAAAACTATCTAAAAAAAGATATAAAGATGCTAACAACCTTGATACTTCATATCATATATATATATATAGACACAATAATATGCAAGATAAATTATTAAAGAAAAATTATAATTATTTATTTATATTAAAAAAAATACTCACCTTATTTGATGATTGACACTAAAATCAATACAGATCAAATGAAATCATTATAAAAAAAAATACACCTTATTTATCCACAAAGATATAATTAGTACTATCATCATGAAAAACTGTAAAACAAAAAGAAATAAAAAAATCAGAAAAATCCCAAAAATGTCATAATGATTGATCTCAAATACATAATATATAGATAAATAGATAAGAAATATATATTTACTTATTAGAAAAAAACAAGTAATTCAAAATTTTTAATTAATACATATGCATTATCTTCCTAAAAAATATTAAAACTATCTAAAATTATATATAAATATATCTAAATTTTTTCCATAAAACTATTTAAAAAAAATATAAAGATGCTAACAACTTTGATATTTCATATCATATATATATATATAGACACAATGATATACAAGATAAATTATTAAAGAAAAATTATAATTATTTATTTATAAAAAAAATATTCACCTTATTTGATGATTGACACTAAAATCAATACAGATCAAATAAAATAATTATAAAAAAATACACCTTATGAAGATATAATTAGTACTATCATGATAAAAAACTGTAAAATAAAAAAAAATCAAAAAATCAAAAAAATCCTAAAAATATATAGATAAGAGTTTTGTGTTAAAGAAACCACACCCAAAAGCATGTTATTACTAGCTCCCACGTGGCGAATGGAGTAAAAGTAATATTCCTACGTGGTTGAAGGAATAAGAATGTTGAAGTAATTAATTTACAATGAAAAAGATGTGCAAAGTCAAACTAAAGTAGTTTATGTATAGGTAGTTCATTGAACATTTGAAACAAGTAAAAGGGGTGAGGTTGAAGATGGTTAATATTTTGTTGCTACATGGTACACGTACCATTTAACTTTTCATTGATTGTATCAACTTTGAGTACGTGGTGTTCAAATATAATTAGCTAATCATGCACTCACTCATCTACTTATACGCCGTCGTACATGAATGTATATCGAAGAAACACACAAATGATTCCAAAGAAGTTCATAAAATACAATTTTGTTTTTACTTTTGGCATATAGTACATTAATTTGTTACACATAATGTCGAAACACGATGCTAATACAAAGAAAATAAATGTGTCCAGCTGTTGTTCCCCTCCAAGGGCAGGTTCTTGTCTCCTCTTTGATCATCTTTTCTACAGGTAGAACTCCTGTGAGCGGTCTAAACTTCGAAATCGAAAGTGGGATGATCAAGATTGCCTTTATGCATGTCTCTATTTAGACAGTTTACACGTCTGAACACACTTTGTATAATCTATTTATATCTTTTGTGCCCAAATATTATCAAGACCTACAAAGTCAAATGTCTATACCGTTTTAGAGAAAATAAAATGAGATTTAAAAGTGTTGTAGATATATTTAGTCTAAGTTTTGTCATTCAAATATAAGACAAAACTAATATGTTAACTGATTGATGGATTATGGAACATATGATAAATTTTTGTAGAAAAAACAGTAGTCGAGTTTGCTCTCATAATTTGTGTTTTTTCAGTCCCTTTCTATTGAATATGTTTTAGAACATTAATGAGCCCTGAACTTCATTCGAAGGAGGAGAAATAGGAATTTAAATTGGAGAAAGACATCCAATTCATGAACACACTTACTTTCAATAGATAAATACTATATTTGTATTATACTGTAGGATGGTCACTAGTTTTTTTGTTTATGACAATGCAAAGAGGTTGTAGGAGATAATTTATTTCTGATGTTATTTCTGATGTTTGTTGTTCCGTTTGTTTTTGCGTGCATGATCATAGGGGTTATTGGATATATCTTGAATTGAGTCTCTTATATGTAAATTTTTATACCGAACTTGATCAACAAGAATTGTGTGTTATTCGTTTATTTATGAATCTAACCAGTAATGAGTAAATTTACATTAAAAAAAAATACACTACAATTAGAACCACGAAACAACTACGTATTTCACAGACATGCAAACCTATTATGATTGGACTTGGATTCCGTGCTGATCCGGCCGGATCAGTATATTCCATAAAGGTAAATAATATATATTTCTACATAATACAATATATTATGTTACGTTTTATAAGATATCATACGCTGTGATATATATATATGTACTCCCTCCGTCCCAATACAATAGTCTTGTTTACCATTTTTGTCCATCCCAAAATAATAGTCTCATTTCCATAAATAACCATATCACCATAAAACTATCCCTACCTTTTCATTATTATTATACAATTGTCACTACTTTTTACATTAATATACTCACAAGGGTAAACTTACTTTTTAACAACTATCAATATTCCTTAAATCTTGTGCCCAACACAATAAGAATATACTTTTGGGACGGAGGGAGTATAACATATGAGGTTTACATGCGTAATATATGATGATCTGATCCGGATCAGTATATGATCTATTCCCATTATGATTTCATCACTATGCTCGCATTTTATTAAGAGGAGTATAGTGATCGGTTCTTATTTTCCAACATTTGATATCAAAACAGTGTGCTCATACCCCGAATAAATTTGTCCGTGGTTTGAAAAATGAGTCGTGAAGGAGGTTCCAACCATTGAGTAGTCTTGTATGAAGATAGAGGAGAAACGTTGGAGATTATGAAAGGAAACCATGGATTGTTTCCAAGTGTAGTTTGATTATGCGTTTGTAGTACTTACTATAGTAGAATTCATGTGGTGGGTAGGTATGTAGGTAAATTTCGTGGTGGAGTGACATATGATAGAGATGGATAGCTAGGAAGATTATGAGATTATGAGACCCATTAATGTAAGAAAAAAACAAATCCCTAAAAGATACGATGTTATGATTAATGAATGTATGTATGTATGTATGTATCTGTGTTTCGTGTAGCCGTAAGCTACATGTCTGTCTGTCACTAAACAACAACAATATGCATTATGCTTTTTTATTAATTATTATTATATAAAAGCCAAAGTGGGGTTTGTAGTTTGTACCATCAAATCAGCTTCCTAATAACTCTACGCTTCTTAATTCATTCCATTCTATGCCATACCCCACCACAATTATTACACTCACTCCCTCAAACTTACTTAATTCCTTAATTCTAGAATTATATATATATATATACAATACATAAAATATTTTTTAAATTGAATTTATATTAATATAATACAAATATATTTATAAACTATCAATCTATGACAATAATTTCATATAACATGCACTATCATTGATTTCAGCAAATGAAATATATTCATAAAACGGACTGTAAAATATGAACTGTCAGCATATAATTTTAATTAATATAATAAATGAGTTGCATACATATATACACTGTTTACTTTGAGCGATTACGGTGAATATCACTATTTTATCCGAGTATGCTACACTAATATTCTAATCAATGATAATTAATCCTACTTAAATGAATAAAATTAATTTATTCAAGTAATAGTTATAACTTTGTAATTTTATATGTAATCGAATAAAGTAAACATCATATTAACAAATAGTTAAAATAGTGATTAATAATAATCAACATCTTAACCCTATCTATATATATATATATATATGTAATTTCATTCTTTGTATTTGGATAATTGCTAATGGCATTGTTCTTTTTTAATTCAAATGTGTGTGTACGCAGTGGTAAGTACTACTCGGCATCTAGATTTAACATTATATGTATATATATATATATATATATTTAATATATTAGTAGTAAAGGCAAAGAAAATTAATTAATGTAAATATTATGGCATCATTAGCATTGTACTATAGTAGTATTAATTAATTATGAGATTCTAGGGAGGGAGTGGTGGGGTTTTTATTTCAAGGGTTTCGGCCGTGAGTGGTTCCAACACACACACACGACACGACCACATCATTAATTATTAATATATAATCAATATTAAATTAGATGAGTGGACACGTGGAAGCTGCGCAACACCCCCTTGGAGGACCACTTCCGATGGCTTCTCTAATAGGCACGCGGCCTACTTCCTATTCCCGCCGCCACCCCTCCCCCCTCGTTCTCACTACAATATAGTACATATACATATATATATATGTTGTAAGTATAATACTTACATACATCTACGTACGTACATAATACATATACTGTCTGTCATACACAATTCTATTCTCTTCTATTTTCTACCATTGCCCCATTGTTCAATTCCGTCACGTTTTTCAAATCCGTCCAATCCCCTTTGGATATATTTATTATTACTATTAATGAAGAACTCAAAGGCAATTTGGTCAACTCTTGAATTTTGAATTGAAGTTAAAAGGGCGGTTTGTTTGTCAGCTGTGCTATTCCAATCCTCCAACCAATGTTGTTATTACACTTAAGTTTATTTTATTTTATTTTAAATCATGATTAAAATCAATTCCATATACTTCATGCACACAGACAACAATACGCCAATTTAAATGGAACACAATTAATAATGTATGTATGTGTGTATACATATATAAATATAATAATGATGGATCATCAATTACAAACAATGATTCCAAAAACCCTGATAAAGTTACAGTTTTTAATCTTCCCCCCCACTAGCTAATTAATTTAAATTAATTGAAATCTATGTGAAGAGAAAGAATGGAAAAGGAAAAAAAAAAAAAAAAAACATTAAAAAAATAAAATTAAAACACTATTCAAATTAAGCTAAAAGATTAAAAATCAATATTCTATGGATATTTAATTTGCTTATTTTCTGTAGCTTGGTAGGATCGATTCGATTAATTAAACTTGTCCCTGTTGTAGACATTGCCGCCGCTGTGCTGCTGCTGCTGCTGTAAGAACCACATGTCATCGACGTCGCTCCAGAGGTTGTCGGAGACATCGCCGCCGTCCATCCACTGGCTGCTCTGCTCCATAAATTCAACCCCGAGGTTGAAGTAATTACCCGTCGGACTTGTCAGCGACTGATCGCCGTAACAAAACTGGCTCGCCGCCGCCGCCGGATAATAATCTTGACCCTGCTGACTCACCGGATAATTGTTGTAGCACTCCGTCAGGTCGGAAACCGGCGTCCCGAAAGAGTCCGCCGACGACGCCGCAGCGCTGGAATTTTCTGGCGTGTAGGTGTGGTGGTGGTGGTGGTGGTTAACTCCGGCGGCGATGTTGGCCGGCGGTGGAACCTGCAGAATCTGGCGGTGATGATGATCCGTTGCGGCTGTGGAAATGTTGTCGTGAAGATTGATGTTAGAGTTTTGTGGGGCGGAGGAGACGGCGGCGCCGGCGGTGGCGGTGGCGGAGGCGGAGGCGGCTTGGATTCTCTCGACTAATCGTGGCATCCATAGGTAGCGCATGGTGTCCTTAAATTGCTTGCTGTTGACGTCACATTTGAGCTGTTTGGCGTGCTTCTGGACACGAGTTCTCCAGTAGTTCTTTATTTCGTTGTCGGTTCTTCCGGGCAAATGCTGCGCGATTTTCGACCACCTGCGAATTTATTTAATTTATTAATTATTTAATTTAACCGCATTAATAATTAATTAATTAATGAAATTATGCATACCTATTGCCCCATCGGGAATGGAGTTCGAGGATCAAGAGCTGTTCCTCAAGAGTGATGTTGCCACGGCGGACGTCGGGGCGGAGATAATTGAGCCACCGCAGCCTGCAGCTCTTTCCGGTTCTCTTCAGACCTGCATAAATTTTAATTAATTAACTGGTATCAATGCGCATAATTAATTAAATGAAAATTTAGTATTGATAAAGCACACCACACCACACCACACCAAACCACACGTAACGTAATCAGCTGATTAATTAATTCGTTCATTTAAAACACGCATAAGCTAAAGTAATTAATTGCGAAAACACTACTATTACACACACACACACACATACATATATATATATATGTATATAAGTATATGATTCATGAATCTTTCCATATACTTTTTGGAGGCTTTTGGGGATAATTAATTAATTAATTAATTAGAGAGAGAGAGTGGCGATTAACTTTATCCGATTGAGCTTGGTGGATGATGTAGATGATCTCTCTATTCTCTCTTCTGGTACGGAAATCATAAATTCCAAGTAGTGGGAATAAAATTCATCCATAAATATATGTATGTATAATTAATTTATTACTATTGCACACACGCAATATGAAAAATAAAGGAGAAGAGGGGGGGGGGGGGAGGGGTAGGTAGGGTAGGGTAGGTACCGGCGGAGCGGGCGAGGGAGTTCCAGCGGCCTTCGCCGTGATGGGCGATGTAATTGATGAGGGTGAAGTCTTCTTCAACCGTCCATGGCCCTCTTCGAAGCTCCATTTCATCTTCAGCCTCAGAGCTGCTGTTATTATGATTTTGCTGCTGCTGCTGATTAGGGCTGTTTGTGTTTCCGGCGGCTGAGTATTGCTGTTGCTGCTCCATCATCATCATGTTCATCATCTCTCTCTCTCTCTACTGTATGTTTCTAATTCTCCAGAGATAGATAGATAGCTAGCTAGCTAGCTTCCAAAGAATCTCAGATTGATTGATGGATGGATGGATTCGCACAAGAACGAGCGAATCCGAAGAGAGAGAAAGGGGGGATTTTTCTTCTTCTATGGTTTGGTGGGGGAGAGAGAGAGAGAAATTGTTGAAGTGTGGATATGGAGAATTGATGGTGATGATGAAATGAGTTAATGGTGGTGGAATAGAGAGAAGGTGGGGAGGGACTTTATATAGAAGGGAAGAGAGAGAGAGAGAGAGGAAAAAGAAAGAGTTTGAAAATGGTGGGATGTGTGTGTGTGAGATTTATAGAGAGAGAAAGAGAGAGCCGCAATTGGGCATTTGGGGGGGGGGGGGGGGTCTTTAATTTTTAATTTAATTTAATGATTAAATAATAGGTCTTGAATTTAAGCGCGCACACGGACACGCACGCACACAAAAACATAAGTATATTTTAGTAATTTATATAGTTTATGTGAAGATATTTTAATAATCAAGTTTGACGCTTTGACTTTCTTACATATATATGTGTGGAAAATGGGTGTCTCTTTTGCTGTTTCTTTCATTTCTTTTTTATTTTAAGGCTCGTGCTCATGTTGCTTTGGTCTGGTCTGTTCTCCTCTCTCTCTCTCTCTCTCTCTCTCTCTCTCTCTCTACCAATATTATATATATATATAATATAAATATAACCAATAAATCTACATTATATATGATATCCATCAACTTGCAAATTTACTTGAATATATATACTCATGTCGTGTCCTCGAGTTTTGACTTCCTCACTGCTCTTTCTTGCCTATCGTTACATCTCCACGATCCCATCCCATAAATACATAAAATCAAATCTTTCATAATCTAATCTGTTTAAGACTGACGACTGGATCATCATCTAATTTGACTTGAATTACACACACACACACACATATATATATATAGAATTATATAAAATTAGGACGAGATTAATACCAAAACGACTCTCATTGGGGTGTGTCCTAGCTAGCTAGCTAGCTAGCTAACCTTGTACATTATTGCCATTCCTCTTCATTACAACTAAATATCGCAGACATGATATGTTTATGGGTGGATAATTGATATATATATGTCAATAAATGTAACTATTTAATTTATTTATTTGTTTATTTGAGAAATGTGCAGTAAGATGAATAATCAATAGTCAAAAATGGAAGAATCAAGAAATGTGCTGGAATGGAAATTAATATGTGTGGCTATTGTAGCAACGCTTTTAGAATAGGGATAGGTGGGTAGCTGGCTTGGCTCCATATATATTGCCTGGCATTGCCCTGGGGACCAAAAATCTTTTACATCGACTATGACCATAATCTAGGAACCACCAATATTATTACATACACACACACATATATAGACTATTATAATATAATATAAATATATATATCAATAATACAATATTACGTTAAACCGATTACTGTAATTACGTACGATATCTCGAAATACACTTTCATCTAACTATAAATATGATTGTTGTATGAGTTTGAATTGTAAGTTCGAATCGAGTTCAAAACATTAATCATAATACTCCCTCCGTCCCATGTATTATGGGTCTATTACTATAGATACGGGAATTTAGGTAAAGTGTGATTAGTAAGTAATTAAGAAGTGTATTAGTAAAAATAATTATCGTATAATAAAAATAATTGTAGATTAAGATTAAGATTAAGATAACTAAATAGTTTAATTAAGATTAAAAAAATTATAAAATTTAAAATTTAAAATGAGATTAAAGTGTATAATTATATTTTCAAAAAAGGAATGGACAAATTATGTGGGACGGACGAAAATAAAAAATAGGGACAAATTATGTGAAACGGAGGAAGTAATAAATTAACTTGGTTTATTTTTTTTTTCCAATTAATAAAGTTAATTGAACAAATAGAAAATATACAGAAAATATATGATTTTAGTTAACCCAACATACATACGATATATTAATTAAAATAATGTGTTAAATTTGCAGTTTATAGGATGTGATATTTAAACATACTTTATTTATTAAGTTTACCGGGTGTATTATTTGGTATGTGCCTACAAAAGTCATATTTATATTTGTATTATATAATGATATATTTTATATTAGTTATTTATAGTTAATGTGTTGTTCTCAACAAATCATATACTATCAAATTTTATAGTCACTATTAGAAAAAATATGGATAATTGCGTAGCATATTTTAATTTGTGACAATTAAAAGTTATATAGAGTAATTTTGTGACAAATTTATGTCGTATTTATTTATTTATTTTTTCTGTATGTAATATTTGCAGAAAAAATTACAAACAATTTTCCCTTACTATTTAAAGTAACGACTTAGTAACAAAGATGTCTAAATATTTCTATTTTGTGTCTTTTGACTATTTTGTCACAAAAATTGTCATGAAATTTTTTCGTAACTATTTTATTGCGACAAAAATAACCAAAATACTTGCAATATTTTAAATTATTACAGATATTGTCATGGTATAATTTTCGTGATTTTTTAAAGTCAAATGTCACGACATAAGTAACAAAAACAATCATAATTATTTTTATTTTTATTGTTCGTAGATATTTAAAATAATAACAAAATAATAAAATCATCTTCTATCTTTAATATCTTTACTTTTTTACTTGTTTTATAATTGAATAATTTATTTTAACTATATCAATAATAGATGTAAATGTAGTGTTAACTTTGAAATTTTATATGATATATTTTTTAAAAATAATTGAGCTTTAAAAAAATAAAAATAAAAATAAAAATAATTTATTAACAATAGATGAAACTCAAAAGTCTTAATACTAAAAAAAAAAAATATATCATTATGTTAAATAAATTTAATATTTTTTTATATTAAATAGACAAGGTAATTTTTTTGTTAAAAAGTTATGATATATATTAAATAAATATATATATACACGGGTAAAAGATAGATTTATAACAAATAATATTTATATAGTTAAAATATAATAACAAACAAAAATTAATAATTTAAAATAGATAGTTAAGTTGGCATAACAAGTCGTTATAGGTCTTTAATAACTATAAAGTCACGAAATTATTTCAACTTCTGTTAATATAAAGTCACGGAAGTGTAATAGTATTATTATCGTCACAAAAGTATCACCGTTATCGAATATTCACAAAATTTTGTTGCAACTTCTGTCGCTATATAAAGTCACGGACCTGGTATTATTATGTGACTTATTGTCACAGAAATGTCACAAAAATGTCACCAATTTAAAAAAAAAAAAAAAAAAAGTCACCAGAAAAATTACACGGAAATGGTTCTGTATATTTTCCCTTGATTTTTTAATAAAAAAGTCATCAATTTGTATTAAAATCATAATTTTTTTTACCGTAACTATAGCTCAATTTTCTGGTAGTAACTAGCAACATTTTTTTTTTTTTCCATATATCACAAATCATGAATTTGAGTTTGAGTTCCAATAAAAATGTACCATAATGATTGAGTTGCATTATAGTTTGTTTAATTAATCAAGCCTCCTAAAAAATTGCTGGATCGATTTGATTTGAATAATAGTTATATAGTACTCCCTCCGTCTGTTTTTAAGGTCTCATTTACTTTTTGCGTCATTCTACTTAACATTACAAATATTCTTATATTTGTATAATTGTTTTGTACAAATATCATTCGTATTATAAGACACTAATTGAAGTATTTTTGCAATATTTTTTTAATTTGTACTACGTTTTAATATAATAATTAATATTCAAATATCAACATGCAAAAAGTAAATAAGACCCTTAGAGGTGAACGGGGTAGTATAAAATAAAAAATTATACATACTCATAGACAAAAACTAATTAATTAAACAATCATGCATACTAATCTCCAAATGTACTCTTAAACTAATGCATGTTCATGTCAAATAACATAAGACCAAATCGAACAAGACAAGGAAATTTTCCTATATCAGCCATCAAACTCTTTCGGATAGAAGGCTACCACTATAACCGACATCTTTGTTTAATCGAGCTATATTGTTGTTGGTTCCGCTTTGACTGTCAAATGCCTCTCAATTCCTATATTAATGAGATAAAAACATATTTTTTCGAATACCTAAAGATGACTAGTAGAGCCATTTATATGCATATTATGAGTGTTAGATAAAAGAAGAGGTTGGTCAGTATTATCCGTAGGTCAATTGAATTATTGCAACAACCAATAAATATTTTTCATGAAAATATTTTAAGAAGTAGTCTGCGTAAATTCAATAATTAGGATAAAAATTACCCTATAGGCAAACATATGGCATATCAAATTCGTATTCAAATTGAAAGATAAATTTAAAATTTTTATAAATAAGAAATCAAACTAAAAACCTATATAATGACATACGGGATTTAAAATTTTTATAAATAAGAAATCAAACTAAAAACCCATGTAATGGCATACGGGATCGTTTGTCCCATATTCGCCATTGTTCCTCTGTTTCACCTAATAAGGACAAATGCTTAGTGAAATATTTTTTATTTTTGGCAACATCAATTTACAAACTTGCAATTTAGTCTTTAAATTGCAAATCAATCTAATTTTTCAAAATATACTCTATCATTTTGACTAGTCATTACAATTTTGTCATGTTTCATCTTCTCTTACCATATCATTTTTTACGTGGATATTGTCGTCGTCGTTCCTCTTGTTGTGACCGGTGTTATTCTTTTGTCCAATTCCAGTCTTTTTCGGTTATCCGTTGTTTTTCGTTCTCCCTTTAGATAATTTTTCAAAATAAATTATTTATTTTTGTTTTAACATAAAATGATTTTTTTTGCGTATAATACTCTCTCCTTTATTTAATTTTTCATTTACAATTTTTATATGTTTCTAACCTTATCAATATGTCCACTCCTCTCTTGTAACACCAATAATATTTTTAGAATAATTCTTTTTTTTTTTTTACTTTAACATGAAAGAAAATATTATACAAAAATACATCCTCATTGATTTTAATCTTCAATTTACAGTAATTTTTTAGTTGTTTTGTTGATTTACAATTTATTTGTTTCGATTTCATATTATTAATTTTGAGAAATTTTAAATTTTAATAAATTTTGGTTGATTTAGAGTTTATTTATTTATTTATTTTTAATTGACTCTTGTTAATTAATTTCATGTATTTTTAATTTTTATGTTGATTAAGCGAAATTGAAATTTCGAGTTTATTTGCCACCTTCATATTGGATTTGTGGGTTGTTTGCTTCTTGATTATGATTGTTTCGATATACTTAATAAAGAAACT